CGACAACTTTCGACGATGACCTCAACACCACGACGCTTCTCTGTGCGTACACACCATTTATACGTCTTGTACATGCATACGTGTAGGGGATCTCTTCTGTGGAGATATCGTTTTAGGTGACTGTGAGAGCTTTCAACTCTATTGTTGGTACTACTAAACAGCAACAGAGTATTCGGCATATATGCCGCAGCCCACGTCTCCTTCTTAGGCGCCCAGTAATGCCTGACATAATTCCACACTCTCCGATCAACCATCCTAATGACACTAAGGTAGTGATGAAATCTAAATGGTTAGAAATCAATGCATTTACCTTTCAGGTGTCGCAGCTTTAACAAGACGATATAAAAACCTGCGTACAATAGGATTTCGAGTCTAAATGCATCAAGTATTAATTAAATTCACCTCACCTTCCTGCTGAAAGCCCGGCATACATGAAATGCACAGATGACGATTTTCGCCTGAATTTGACTATTACGCACGGCGGATATCTCACAGTTGGCCGAATCCATTACGAAAGTTTCTGTAATGGACGTATCCTGCATTATTCTTTGGAATTGTTCCAATATCCAAGCTACATCACATGACCTCTCTCGTCTCGTCCATGCCGAAAAAAACAGGCCTGTCATGACCCATATTGACCCAAACAGGGGATATGCCTTATCAACGCCCGGATTCATATGCTGCTTCAGTTTTAGTAACAACAACGCTACAGGCCTAGCTTTCGTCACCTTTTCTAGAAGACGCTTTATAGGTCTTATAAAGTCGCGAGCGTTTCTTTTTAGTTCTGCTGTATATCACACACAGGCTCCTTACGGATATAGGTGTATTATCATGTCCACTTGGTTTTGTCACTGTTGGCACGTGACAATGTAGGCGTGTTATCATAACAGGGGCCATGTACACGGGTATTTAGAACTGGTATGCGAGATGGGGTTAATTTCCTCGGTCTGCAGATCTTGTCACTACAGAATATGGTGCTTTAGTGCTTTTTGGCTAGTTTCAAGCACCATATTAACAGTTACTAAAACTTATGCTTATAGTTAAGCAAGAGATAGCAATAGAATCTACCTAATAGAAGGAGTACGAAAAGATTGATAGAGTATACGAGGTTTCCGACTTTACTTAGTACTTTTCTGATTACTCGGCTTGACAACAATCACCAACAAGTCTTGTCTATCTGAACGGGTGAGGAAGATGCTGCTACAGGTGTAGCCTCTGGAGCTTTGGTCGTAGTTCGAGAGAGCCAGAATTACCACAGAGAGATTTAATGTGGAAGCAATGGTTCAGTTTAATTCACAGGCTAGGAAGATAAGGTTTCCTGACCGGATAATTCACAAAACCGGTGTTTTCCGGTTAGAGAGGAAAAAGCACATGGTATTCAAGGAGAGCGCGCCTTAGGTCATGTCCCACTCAGAAAAGTATATCCTATGATAATTTAATTTCCTTGTTAAATGAATAGAATGCATCCTGTAGAACTCATGAAATTTATACACCGACATACTAATTTTTGCAAATTCCTAGCTAATATCTCCTCAACAGAGTGGGGAATGGATGTCGTGGTTGTTTAAACTCAGTAGATAGTGACCTACTGGCAGTAAAAATAAAAGCAGTCCCTCGAATTATGCGTCATACTTTTAACTTGGTCGCAACTTTCAGCAACTATCAAATGAACACTTGACGAACATAATATCTATCCAGGAAGTACATAGAATTTAGCGAAACGTACACTTTTGGTTTCATCAGGAAGTCCTCATCTTAAATGCATTGCTATAAGGGTCTGCACATTTTCTTCACAACTTGAGTCATATAAGACTGAAGTGGCTGAACTTCTCTCCGTTCTTACAGCACTTAACCTAGAGAATCTTGTGTAGTAATTCCTGTGCGTTGTGAGTTTTCTCACGGTGAAGAGGTGAGCATGACATTCATAATCTTTTACTTCAAATGAAGTTGCAGGGCAACTTAATGCGCAAAGTTTTTATCCGAACAAACTGTAGAATAAAGTCTTCTACAACTTTTAAATAACTTGTTCTTAACAAAAATCAATAAGGGTTGTACAGTTCTAAATTATAAAAAATAATGCTTTTGCTCTATCATCTACAAGCCTGTTCAACTTCTTGTCAAGATACCACCCCATGAGCCCCACAGAATCTTGCGAGACATCTTACAAGTCAGCTTGTCCTACGGGTTCTAATATTCCAGATCTTTGAAGCCACTTCTTATTGAAATACCACTTATATATACCTCATGATAACGTTTTACTCACGCGCTATATATACTCTACTTTATCTTAACTACCTAGGCCTTGAATGAAGCTAAGTCTCACTCTTTTATTTGTATTCATCACTTCCCTAAAGTCTGGTTCCTCTGATGGAAAAAATCACTCAACAACATTAATGTTTGGGGAAGCTATACTTTCGTCGAAAACATAGTTTCCATGGTAAGACTAATATGGTTAGCATTAAACATTGCAAATGTATACTATCATTCCAAGGAGTCTCCACCTCTTTCTTGTATTTATCTTGTAAATGTACTGTAAATAATGTACTATCCATAATTTTATTTTGTACCATTTTGCAGTTTCCCAGGACGTTATCCCCTTCCGGAAATAGCTTTTAATCACTTAGAGGGGTATTTCACTTACCAAAATATATGCTGTTCACTGACTGGCCATAACTATCAGCAGGAAACGGAACAAAGTTTGGGTTGTCGGTCAACTTTGATGGTGACCTTAGTGAAGGGTTTACAATTTAACATTTATACGGACTCGTTCTGATTGCTTGTACTACAACACAAATGGGAATAAATATATTATTAATAAGCTTTTGAAAAATAATTATTTATGATACTTCAAGAATCTAATTTATAAGACAATTAACTGCGCCTGTAGAAATGATATGCATCTCTTATAAACACCAGTTTATATGGCATACAATTTATTGCTATCCCAACCAAGGTAGTTATCTTCCACGTTTGAACTTAAATTGTGCTTAAATTATCTGAACCCTTTAGCAGTTAAATATTTCCAAAAAACAAAGGACTTTGAAGCACAAATTACCATAATGCTGCGCACAGTGTCCATAGTGCTTATAATTTGTTTTAAAATGAAGTGTAAACTGTGCTGAGTACACGAAAACAGAAACTAATGCTAACATTACGCGATGAATGCTTACAGCTTCCACACCAGTGAGGACAATAGGGTTTCTTTAAGTGGGCAAAATATACTAGCATGATGTCGTGAATGCGCAGCAATACACGCTTGACTTTTGAAATTATTTAATTGTTTAACCAATTAAACTGTGTAGATGGTAGCATCGGGTGAATTTTCTGGTAAAAGTTCAGTAGATAAAAGCAGTTCAACAATATAATACAACCGATAACATGCACGCTAGAAAACATTTTAACGTGAAATTTCGATTAAAAGAACGTGAAATATGGTGTGTCACTGAGCCACCATAGTACCGAACTACAATGCTATAACTAGATAAGATATGCAATAAACCCATCCTTAATTTGGCTGTCATGAATTCGACAAAAAAATCAGTTAAACTAATAAGGCGTTAAATGTCATCGGTGAATGGAAGCATGTCGAACTAATCAGGTAACGTTCCTAAAAGGTAGCATGTAGAAATAACACTTTAGCATTCCAACTGAGTAAGGAAAAATTAAAAGTGGGAAGCAGTGAACTGAGTGGTGGAAGCATCCACCTGTTTAAAAACCAAGATCACTACCTTGTTCCTAAGCTGCCTGAATGAATACTGATGTCCAGTAGGCAGGAGTGACTTACATTTGTGACAACCAATAAATTTACTATTTAGCATGAGTCATTCTAATTTTTTGGTGGTGTTAAACAGTGGTATATTCCAAGCAACTTCGAGATCCATTGTAGACTCCACTGTCAAGGGGAATTTTGGATAAATTTCCTATAAAGTTTACATTTTCGTATAAAGTATAAGTAAACCGCATTATTTTGGGCAATGCTGTATGTTTCTTAACACTGAGTGGCGCACTTATGTGTTTTATGTTGCCTCTAGATTACTCGTATAATATCTGTTGAACTAGGTATTGTTCCGTTTAGTGTGTAACAGCAGAAGACAAGACACGGAAGGCAAACCACTGCTTATATATATATAAATTATATTCATTAACCAATCACTGAGCGTGTGATTTCAGTTTACATCAAACGATATGAAATGGAATGTTCAAGTATACAGAGTATTCTGTTGAAACGTATTATTGAACTGTGGGAATATGTGAGAATAATATTCCGGTGGAACACATTGTCTGTATCATATCACCACATGTGCACAATATTATTTGTGCCTTTATGACTTTACAACCAAAATAACTTAATTTCGTCAGGTCAGTGCATTTTGTGTCCCCATTGAAACAGGTTCTATTAATTTGTTTCAAAGATTATACACCACGCAGAACATGAGTAAATCCGGTCGGATTGTGGGTATTCTAATTTGGTTAAGCGCAATTTATATAAGTAGAAGTTCGCTGAAAATTCCGAAATGTATTTGCACTTGAAATTACCGTAAATCACTATTCGTTTATCTCGTATAATGTTAGCCACCGCTACAACTCTTGTCACAATTCCCTCAGTAACTGATTCTCTGACTAGTATTGTTTACGGGTAATGCTTTTTCGGATTAGATGTTTTCGGCATCATCTAGTGGGCTATATATATGCTCATAATCTGTGATCAAATCCACACTGAGGAATGATGAAGATTTGCAGCGCAGCACTCCAGAAGTTATGCGTTCGATATTTTCTTCTTCAGTCATCGGGATCAAAACTCTAGATATTCAATTGAAAAATATAAGTCAGTGTCGGTACAAGGTGATAAACTAATTATTTAAATATAAGTTGGATTTTAAATTTCGAAACTGCCGTGTTCCACAGAAGATACAAGGGGTGTTGTTTGAACTCTTTTAGATTCGCAAAAATGACCTTTGCTAGGGTGAACAGCTAACGCGTTTTTTTGAAAGCTAAAGCAAATGAGAAGAAATGAGAAAACGTACTTGAAACCAAAACAGGAAAATAAAAAGGTAAAAATCATAAGTGATTTTATCTCACTTTTCTTATGCAATTAAATATTTGTTTTATAGTAAACTAACAGGCGACTCGAAAACCTAGTAGCTGGTGAATAATGCATCTTTAATTAATCTTCCTGAACCTCTTGCGTAAACGCTTTTCAGTGATTACGTTTCGTGTCTATCCATAGCATTTCGTCGGCTAATTTCGCTGTATTTGAAATCAGTTAATATCCGTCAAAATCCTTTTATTTAAAATCAGTAAAGGGTTCTACTTCTTCTTGAGATTACCTAGCAATTCTAGGCCTACCTACAATAGTATACCTTTGCATATTTTGTGATATATTGGTTTCCTCTCTCTTAGACCCTAAACTTACGTCTGTAAAATGTACATGCAAGTTTCACTTAATGCATAGTAAATCAGAGACGAAATACAGATGTTTTACAAAATTCATGCATAATCTTGGCGTATTATTTTTTTTCCTGTCATGCCACGCTAATATATTAGCCACATAAATGTAATCATACGTAATTCTAGAGCCTAATTGCAGATTACACCTACCGTTTCGAACTAGCATACAACACTTTTGCAGCAGTACAACTTTCGCATGTGCTTTTGTTTACTCTGTGGATAAGAATAATTCCTCAAAATTGGTATTTCCAATGTTCAATCTTCGTTTTGGTGTATAGTGTGCCATAATCGGATTGCAATCATGATAAAAATGAGGTTTTTTCGTTATAAAGTAAAAGGAGTGGAAAGCCTCACAAAATTTTAAACCACTGCCTAAGGTTTAATTGGTATACCGAAAAGATAAAAAAATATGTTTTTATCAGGGTTATTGAGAGTCCGTGATAACCAGTGGGTTTCGGAGGCTCACCAGATGATCCCGAACTTTAGCCTGTGTCCAGCTGGCGAAACGATGAGTGAGTAAACCTGCCTTACAGGAAAAGATTCACATGCAAAGGCATTCTGACATTCAAGACATTAAAAATGAGTGAACTGATCTTGCAAACATTTTAAGTCTTATTACACTGCCAATGTGTATTGTATTTCTGGCTTATTTTTGTGCTTAGGACGACGTAAATCTCAAACACAGTTTAGTCATTTCCTTACTGCTTGTATCTTTTTATCCAAGGCTTTTTATGAACGAAACGCTTTCCAGTTATCACCCGAATTTATCTGGAATTACTATATATTCTTGATTTTATCTTTTTTGTCGTAAGATAGGACTAATAACCTACTACCTACCACAAAGCTGCAGACTTATTCGGGTAAAATACTCACAACGCTAACAACCTCCTTTTATATTTATTCTATTTTAAACAAACTGTAGCTTTTAAGCTGTGGTGAAACGTTTTTTCGCTTTTACTTAAACTGTCCTTATAGAAGTTGTCTAGTGTGAAGATTTATCTACATATGTTTCTTTCTAGTGCAGTTATTAAATTAGTGAGGCCAATTTGTTTTACTTAAAAATATATAGCCAGGTTTGAGTTCGCTTACAATTGATTTCTCTGAAGGTAAATTGCTGTTTTCAAAACGTCAAAAACCCGACTGTAGAAGTTGTCTGATAAGTTAGTTCATGTTTATAAAATTATTAGATAGTATGCAGGTATTTTCACGACTTAAATGTAGTCTTGATAAGGTATATTGCGAAGTAAAATATTATCTGAAAACTTCAAGGTAGTTATCATTTCCTAAATACTTACCAACGAAGGATATTGTTTTTGCTCCATTCCAGTTATTCACAACCAATTGTTTTCAGCCCACAATTAGAACTACTCATGTCGAAAGCATCTCAAGATTTTAGGTACTGTGCCTAGAGCTGAAACCTTAGTGTGGTTTGTAGCAGGTTTCATGAAATTTTAATTTACACAAGTATTATATAACTTAAATAGTTATTGGATCAAAATGTAGTTATTGTATGGTATTAGGAGGCAAGCTCAGTTACTCATTTATACGAACGGGTAATTATAATTCCTTACTTCATGCAATCCCATTCTCGCCAAAGATAAAGACATTAATGTATTGTAAAAAAAGGTCAGACTTGTATTCAGGGTTTTTTCCTATAGATTAAAAAAGAGTTTAATAACCCCTACAAACTAAGTACTGAAAATTAATTTTGTGCTTAGAAATCTTCTCGGAGAACTAAGCGATTTCATTAGGTTTAAACGGTATCAATGAATTTTCTAGTCAAGGCAGCTTACGTAATTTATAACTGCATATGTAATTTTTAAAGCCATTGTGTGGCAGAAATTGCATCGCATCTCATAATCAGGAACTCCTTCCCGATGACAACAATTTAATATGTATATAGATTACCCACTGAGTAAAACAAGAGGTGATGCAGCATTGGTCACCATTATATTAGTCAACGACTCATTCTACAATTCAGGGGCTGGTAACAGTTACGTAACAGCACCATTCCTACTGTAAGTGGGGCGACTTTCTCACACTTGAAACGATTGTGACGTCAGAAGAAAGTAAATGAAAAGGTGACTTAAAACAAAAGAGAATTTATAAAGAATAGCCACAAAGAGGTACTTTTAAATAACTTTAAAATAATCATTCCAGGTTTTTAAAGTAATTTTACTTCTACTGTAAAGCAAATAAAATTAGCATTATTGGATGTTTTTATACCTCAGTTGACTTTTTTCAGAGACATTCACTAGACAACATTACCTTCAGAATTTATCTGTGAACACTTCAATATATTACAGTAATTTGCGGTCTTGTATCCCTTTTTGTGTTTTGTCTACAAGATCACGCAATAGGAAAAGGAGTAATTAACTTTACTCTATCTAAAAGAGCTAAACATGACTTTGAAATTACCCTTCAACTGTAAGTTTACTAACCAACTTATTCTTTCTGCTGAATATTTCTGTCATTGAGACTATTATTGTTTACAATATACCTTGTGATAGATAAACGCAGATAATATTTGCTGAGAGACTTTCGAAATTACGCGTGTCAGTAGGGTTGTCTGTTATTATAACCTATCCAATAACTAATGACTACTTGATTGTAAATATTTTATGCGATTATCAGCGCAGTATACTCATAACTTCCACATCTAAGCTGACTGAGTCTGTCTATGAATAAATTTAAGGACTGAATATACACCTTATTTCCATGTCTTAGGTATTATTAGTGTATTTTGGTGTCTCCTCCTTATAATTTAGCAGATGTGATTCGAATTCTTTATAAATCTTACCGAAATTACTAACGTAATGAATAATTACAATTTTTCTGTTAGTTTTTCTAAATTCTCAAATGAACTTCTTATCAGTGACGTATTTGCACGTAATCATACTGTTACTTTGCCTCTTTACTTGTTTATCAGACTGTTAAATTGATTGCTGAAATAATTTGCGTAGTTCCTATTAACTTTTGTGAAGAAAAAAAGACAAACACACTTGTATACTGATTGTGACAGAATGAGCAAATATATGGGACGCACGGCTAGTATGTATAATCAGTGCATTAATCCAGTCGTACAAACGACCAGTGTATTTTTATTAGGGCTAATTATTGATAAGTAAGCATTGGTTCGCCTAGTCAACCACATATAAATGTAGCTTGGTAACTTGTATTTAATATCAAATGTGAAAAGTCTACATTTTAACCAAAAGAAAAAGTATGTCGAAGCAAACTCAATTCTCAAACCTATGTGGCAACGTATAAAAGGTTATTTTCAAAACATCACACGGTAAAATAATCATGGAAAATAAATTTTGAGAAATAACGTAATGTAATAGTGACTATCTGACTAGTAGTTGGATAGACACGTTACTTGACACCAGTGGGAATCAGTTAGATAAACTTCAACCATAAGAAGTCATTGAAATAAATATGAAACCAAGTAGAAGGAATAAGGCAAATTCAGAGATAATATTTATTAAAACGGTGAGGGCAGATTAATCTAAATATAAGTTTGTTTTGATCCTATTCGATTACAACACGGCTTATTTTAGAAGGTATAAACTAGATGCTAAAGTATATCAACGAAATTTAGACTATGGTGTGTTGTAGAGATTTAGATTAATTTCAATGTAGACTAAGTCACGAACTAACATCAGTTAGAGGTCACTGGAAACTACAAACCACTGGGGAGCTGTTTCATCCTACTTTACGGCTCTTCGACAGTGCATACTCGTGACCCCACGAGAGATAGAACCTGGCACCTTCAAGCTCATTGACCGCTCAGCCACTTGGTCTGGAATTTAATAACTCGTGAATTTTAACTTTATCAATTAGTGGAATAGCTCTACCCCCGACGAATGCCTTCTATGAGCACTCACTTCACCTTAACATGATGTACCCCACTGGTTACAGCTTCTGAGTATACCTTCAGGACATCTACCTAGGGGCCATCAGTCAGCTGGAGATTGATGCATAGATCATAAGATTTTGTAGGTATTTGAATTAATTTCAAAGTAGATTTTGTCACAAATTCCGGTCTAAAAGGCTGAATGGTCAACGAGTTTGTTTTCGCAATCCAAAGGTGACGGGTTCAATCCCTGGTGAAGTTGTGGATATGCACCATTGAAAAGTCTCATTGAACCGAACCCAGGGCCTTCACGTTGCAAGACCAGCTCATAGACTAGTGTACAAATTATTTTAGTACCAGTTGTTTTTCATTATTTCCATACCATTTCTCTTATTTTGTGATTTATGGATTCATCATTATATACTAATCCATTTTGACCCAATTCCTTGTTAGGTGTCGGATTTGAAAAGTGCTTTTCTCACGAAATAATATCTGTTGTAAAAGACATTACTATAGGGAGAATGAAACATGCATTTGAATGTATTTAGGACCAACTCGTCGTTTTTGCAGTGTGTCTTAAAGTAGTCACTTTAACTAACAGAAAGCCATTTATGTTTCCCTACAACAAGGATATCCTAAAAACTGTTCGTTGGCTAAACACCTCGTTTTTTATCTACATAACGGAAAAACTAAACTAGTTATTGGGGTATATACTATGCAGACTGAAGGATAATTCTATATTGGATA